TTTCCTCAGTCTTTATGTGATGGCTTTACAGGTGGTTCTCAGCATATCGTCTAAAGGTTTCAATGCTAATAACCGTCCTAGTACGTCGCAGCGGTCTCCAGTAGTCCCTTGGATATTCGTTACTCTCAATGCAGTCCCGAATGAATCTGGCCAATACTCTTGCCTGGACAAGTTTGGTGTTGAAACTGTTAAAGTTGGTATATTCGCTAGAGAATGTTTTCTTTCTATGCACGCTCCTTTGGACGCTACCGTCCCAGTTACCGAGACAATCGAGCACATCCGCGAATTCCTATTGAGAAATCAACTATAAATTGGGATACCGACAAATGCTCTAAAGGAAATTCTACAGAAATGCACACTTAATGTGCAGTTCCTTTTTGACAGCCAAATATACAGACAAATAGCTGGCATTCCCAACAGAAGCAAAATCTAGTTCGCTGCTTAGCACAAAGAACTAGCAATATTTCCTCGGTAGAGAGTATTGAAGAGAAATTCAAGAAAATCCAGGATTTACTTCGCGAGAACGGGTATACTGAGAGATTTATTAACAGCAATACGGCTGCCAAACAAATAAAACCCACAACACTTACTGTGGAAAAATAAACCTATTTCTCAAAGTCCCCTTTTGAGGGGATGTGGCAGGTGAACTCCCGAAAAGATGCCTTGATGAGCCGTGTCACGAACCTTCCCAGCAGCGAGGGTTTGAGTATTATTCTCAACCAACCAGGTCTAACATGAAGAAGTTAAGGACGAGTTACCGACTCAGACCACCTCCATGTGGATCAGTATATATTTGTCGCACGAGTCGGCGCCTATCCAAAAGAATTACAGAACACCTCCGCAATGGCTAAGCAAAGGTGAAGTCAATACCACCAGGATTATCAGCAGCTCTACTCTAGCGCACATGGTGGATTCAGGACGTCGGGTAGACGCTAACGAAGCCTTCAGGGTGATCTACAAAGTCCCAACAAACTGCCCTAAGTTACTGGATGAGTGCCTGTTAGCAACAGCAGAAGCGACCGCTGTCCGGTTGAGGAAACCAGTTTTGTGTGTGCAAGGTCCAATCTTAAATGGGCCAACGGCCGCCTATCTACCGACGTTTTTCTAAATCTCCTCTCTCCCTCTCCCTAATTTCCGCTTAATTAGCCGTTTGTTTCTACCACCAACCCCCTCTTCTATTCCCTATACTAATTTGCCCGTAGCGTTGAAAGTAATTTGCCTACAATTCTACCTTTTACACTTTCCAACGCCCCTTTCATATAAATGTAACGACCTGGAGAGAAGTTACTTAGTGTTTGCGTATGCACACCAATGCCTCTTTGGAGTACTGTAATGGAAATGTTTGCAGCCTTAACTAAAAGGGCGATTTTATTAGGTAAAAGGCTTGCGTAGGAGTAAACCAACACAAAGGTAGTGACCAAATATAGGCCAAACTAACAAGTTGATTTAATGTTATGACTTCTGTATGTAGCAATCGGCAT